GTAAAGATCTTGATGGGCAACTTGCAGAGGATCACGTTTCTCCCCGGCCAGGGCTGCTGTCCAGATGCGAGCACCGTGAGTCAGGCAGGCTCGAAATCCTGCATTCGTGAGACCGGGGTAAAGGCAGAGGGAGGGGAAGGTTGCTGGTGCAATTACAACCTCTGAGGTTCGCACCAGAGGGAGAGCCTGCAGCAGGCAATGCCGTCGGGGTCACCTGTTTGCTGCTCTTCCAAACGGTAAAGTGGTGCTGGCCCGACCCGCTGGGGCTTGGGAAGGGCTCGCGCTGTCATACAGCGCTGTCTGTCGTTCCCAGAGACCCCTGCTAAAGGAGAAATGCTCCTTCACAGGGGGACGTGTCTGGATGCAGGAGGAACAGGATGCTCGGCAAGGAAAACGGTGCTGCCCTCCGTGCCTAGCGCTTGCACGCAAAGAAAAGGAGAAGCCCAAACTGGGAACGCGGCCTCTGCCTCTCTGCCCTAGGCGAGGTATGAGAAGGATTCCTCCCGGATGTGGGCACTGCTGCTGCTGACTTCATTAGAAATTGTCATAAAAAATATCCAAAGAAACCTCTCCGAGCAACTACCAAGGCTCCAAGTAAACAGGAACACGAGGGCTTGCAGGACTGGTCTTCTAGTCTCTTATTGTCCCCTTTGGCGGCAGGCCACTGGCTTTCGTTGTATGTGAGGAAATGGCTTTCTGGTACATTACTGTTCGTTTTTGCCAGTTGGCTCTAACATGAACCTTATTTTATTAGGAGTAGCAAAATAAAGTGGCTGTGGTCAGAAGAAGGGTTTAGCTTCTGAAGGGGCCAAAACCAGGCTATTTTTAAGAGCAGGCAAGGGGCATCTTGGCGAAGAAAAACTGTGCGTTTAAAGACGGTGCATTTTTGCATCTCTGTGATCTCCCCCTGCTCCCTCCCTGAACACGTCTCCGTCTCCCATCTCCGTTGCTCGAGCCCTGCTGCGTTTCAAAGAGCTCCTGGCTCTCTGCAGGTGGGGTGAGCAGCCCGCTAGGCGCTGCATCAAAGCGGCTCCGATCTCTTCCTCGATGTGCCTCTAAGCTCCCTCTGCTTCCCCCGAGACACCCAGCACTGAGGCTATGTGGAGGTGGGCGGAGAGGACAAGAAATGCCCATGCACCTGTGCATGCAAGGGGGACACAAAATGACGAGGGAGCAACTGGAATAGGCCTTGCAGCGAAGCCAAGGGCATCTTCTTATGGCCCTGTCCCACGACGCAAGACGCTGCGTTAGCCCAGCACTGTTAGTCACATCCCTACATACGAAGAGGAGGGCGATGCCCTCCTCTGCCAAGCGCGTTGAGACCTCAGGCTGAAGGGTGCTGGCTGAATGCGGGCTCACCTGCTTCTTTTTGGGTTTCTTGGAGCGAGATCTGTTCCGGGGGGGCACAGCATCCTCGTCGCTCTCCTCCGAGATCACCATTTGCTAAAGCGACAACTTGTGTAGCCTGCTCCTGGGCAGAGCAGCTGGGAGACGAGCGGCGAGGCCCCCCCCCCTTGCTGATCTGCATTTGTTTTAAGGTCTCTTTCATGTCCTCTTTGAGGCTCATTTCCTGTGCTTTGTAGAAAACAATGCTTCCCTCCCCCTGCTCCCCCCTCGCCCCAGCCCAGGGTGGCTTTATCTCCCCTCCCTTGGGATTCGCTGCACTGGGCTCCCTCGGAAGCCGAGTTTTACATTTGTCTTTTAGAATACAAAACCCGACTCTGATTTAACTGAATTGATTTTAAAGCTGTGTCTGGTACTGGATGTCTGCTAGATGCATTTAAACCGATCTGGACTTTCTCTGTTTGGGCAGATTGTCATGAAGCTGGTAATTTACTGTGCGAGTGACAGCAATTGGAAGGCTGGACCCTAAGTGCTGACATGGGTTGCAATTCAGGTCTGGAGCTATTCATGCAAGCTGGAGCACAGATGCTCAGCATACAATATTATCTGTCTATTATGCAACACAATATTATCTGTCTGTGTTTTGCACTGCTTTAGCTACTTCATTTTTAGCCTGATGCCTTACAGCAATGAATCATATACAAACAGGTCTTCAGTGTTGTCTCCGCAGCACAGGGACCTTCTCAGCACACAACACTTCCTTGTCCCCAAAACAGGGATAAGAGCAGATCCCCAGCAGCTTGTCCTGCTGGGACATACTGGGAGCCAGCAACAGGAGGGCTGTTGGGACAGCAAATTGGTGCCTGCGCCTCTAACCAGCCCTCCATGCTATCCTCATATCCACCCTGACGTGACCCTGCTGTTCCCTTCCTGCTAGTGGTCTGGCATTTTCCCTATAGCTGTCTTTTTCTGTCTTGTCTTCTGTCCTTTTCTTCATGTGAGCGTCAAGCACTGAACATACAGTCTCAGACTATGCAGCTCACATGTTTGCCCGGGGTGGGAATTATTCCTGCAACAGCTTCTCCTGTGGGGCATGTTGCGCCAAGAG